CGGCTGGGTTGTTGTGCTACCCCTGGTCCCCGCCCCCCCCACGCTGGAGGCACTGGGGCCGCCCATGAGTTAAAGTAATCCCTCGAAGGCCAAGGTTGGCCAAGAGAGCTTGCAGGTCACGGCCTGAGCATGGGATGCATCCTGCTGCCTCAGGATGGGTCCTGCTGCCTCAGGATGTGACCGCAGGCCGATTGCCCAGGGTCTGAGTCAAAGGGACGCTCAGCCTGCACCCATTTTGGGCGGTCTTTGAGTGGAGCACCAGGGACACGTCGCTTGGGAGGATCACACCCCTGCAGTGTCTGTACAGCAGCATCCCCCTCTATGCAAAGGGCTCTTTCCACCGGCGTCCCTTGCTCAGGGTTGCTGATGCTTTTTGAGCTCTTTGGTGAAAGGAGCCATCACGGCACGCAGGGACCTCAGACTGGTTTGCTGTGTGCGGTGCTTTCCAGACACCTCTAATGAGCCTGGCTCCAAGGAATTTAGCCTCCAAGCTCCGCTTGCAGCGATTACACTGAAATGACCTCTGTTTGCATGAAGAGCAGCAGTGTCATCCCCAGCACATGGGGCTGGCGTGACTAACGTAATGCTGCGTCCTGAACAAACAACAGAGGTAGGCAGGCAGCAGAGAAATTAAAAGCAGGGCTCGGAGGACTTCAGAGAATTTTTGATAAGAGCTTTCCAAATGTCAAGGCCTGATGTTAAATGCCAGCTGAATATGTCATCCTTGGGGCCAAGCTAGTTTGCGAGCTCTTGTAAAGCAAGGTCTGTGTGAGTTTCTGTGTGTGAGACTTTGTGAGAAGGCGTTTAAATGCTACTTTCTCTGGTGATATGTGCAACTGTTAGTTTGATTCCTGGGTGTTTTCTGTGGCCTATCCCTCAGCAGGATTTCATTGCAGGTTTTTGACCATTGAGTTCATTTGGCCTGTTTCTATTTTTTTTTTTTCCCTTAGTATCACCTTGGAGGAATATAACCTTGCTGCCCCACTGACTTGCTGGAAATCCTGGCTTATCTACACTTCTGCCTACAGTGCCTACCTTATCTCAGTGTAGCCTGGTGGGGGAAGAAAAGCAGCAGAGAAGCTACAGAGAATTTTTTTATGCTTCACTGAACTAATTGTTGCTTGTCAAAGCAAAACAGGATGGATGGGAAGAAGTGGTACCAAGTTACACATAAGGTGGTTCCAGCAGGGTCCAAGTCTCTTCTCTGAAGAGAAGCTCTAGCATCAAAGAGGCTGCAAAGCAAACACTTCAATCAACCAAAATGGAAGGAGGCAACAGTCCAAATCTGCAACTTCAGCAGCTCCCGTTGGCCACAGCAGCAGTTTCTGTGCAGCCACACACTGACTCCTTTTCTTACAAGGTCAGATTTCTACCCCAGTCTATCCGTAGAAGGCCCTAACTATTCAAGTAAGCTGATAATGCCACTGTATTTTGGTGGGTTTTTTGCAGAAAATGCACTGTCTTTGTATTTAGCTATGCCTGGAGACCCCAGCATGTTATATGCCGTGTATATAAGCAGTGAGAGAAAGAAGGAGAAATTCTGTATCTTGAAGAGCTAGACAAAGTGAAGAAAGGACTGGCAGTTAAAAGATGTGGATGTCTAAAGGTGCAATAAATTCTGCTAGGTGCCTTTTCAGACTAACCCGTACATCAGTAACTGAGATCAGGTGTTCTGGTCTGCTGTATATTCAAGTGCTTGAATTTCAGGTGGGTCAGCCCACAGTCAGGCAGAGAGCCTGCAGCTGAGGTAGGACATGATGCTGTAGTTCCTCCTTATTCTCCAGCTGGGAATGGAGCTGTTCCCAAATCAATTTCCTCTGAATCCCTGAGGATGCTCAGAAAATCCCAGCAAGAAGGGCTTTTTTCACTGGAAAAAGTACTTTGCTGAGAATGCAGTCCTAGGAGTGTTATAAAAGTTGGTGCCGGCTTGCAAGCTCTCGCAGTCCAGAAGCCAGTCCCAAACCTGTGCTGCGCTTAGGAGCTTCTCAGCTGAGGCACCATCTCCTCTGTGTCTTCTAAACTGAAGTCCAGTTGTTGAACCAGTAAACCGTGCTGAGCTTCCCTGGCTACATCTGTGATCACACAGTGATGTTTTTCTGCCAACTTTGCTGTCTGTTGTGGGAAGATCTCAGGTGTTTTTGAATGAAGCTGCTTGGGTGGATCTTATTTTTGTACATCCTGATAAAGAGATCTTTGTTCCACTGATAAGAACTTGAAATCTTAAAGTCCTTGTCTTACTATGTATGAGAAAATCAAGAATAGTATGTTTACTGCTAAGGGAGGAATAGGAATGTGAGCTCGGTTATCCCAAATCAATCAAAGTAAGTGCTAGGCTGTATCCTGGAGACCAGCGCTGAAATGAAAAGTGCTAATGACATCTAATGAGATTTAGACAGTTGTTGGAAGAGCACAAATGCTAAATGGCCTGGCTTAGCCTCAGGCTCTTCTGTTCAGTCCTAATGTACATTTCCTTTGTGACTCAGCCTGCTTTACATCTTTTTTTGTTTCAAATTCTGTCTTTAGACTGTGAGAATTATTGCTGAGCTGGGAATGCTAACATAGAAGGGGTTCGAGCTTGCTAGGAGCTGCTACCAGTTGCCCATTACTTTGGAATAACTGGTTCCTATAAAAAACACCATAAAATCTGTGGTAACTGGGCTGCCTCATCAAATAGGCTAAATTACCTACTGAACCCGCAGATCTTATAAGCGGAGAAGAGCAAAATAGTTCTTAAGGTGTGACTCACAGAATGCAGAGGTTCCTGATCCATGCTCTGCTGAATTCCAGGGCAACAAACATCCTCATGAAGAGAGTTTTTCAAAGGGAAGAATGAGTGAATGGGTCGTTGCGTTTAGCTTTATCTTCTTCCCCTCTGAGAAACTGCAAAGAATGCAAATATACGCACACTAATTTAAATCTCTTGTAGAAAGTTAGGGAAGGGTTATCTTTCACCTGAGTGTCACAGATTTGGAACACAGCCACAGGGAACTTACCTGAATTGCCCTAGATCACGTAGAAAGGGAGGAAGATAAACAGAGATGTTATTGACAGGTGATCTAGGAACTGTTTTAAAAGTCTGCTCTCTTCCAGGTTGTGCAAAAAGCTCCAACTTCCTTCAGGGTCCAGTGGCTAAATTTGTGTGTTTACTTTGTTTTTACAGGAGAACTTGATTGGCGCGTTACTAGCTATTTTTGGGCATCTTGTTATCAGTATCGCACTCAATCTCCAGGTGAGTATCATGCGGCAAATATTGATCCTGCCTCAAGCACCCTGCATTAAAAAGCATCAAGCATGCCAAAGAGTCTTTGCCTTTATTTTCTTTTCTAGAAATACAGCCACATCCGGCTGGCAGGTTCCAAAGACCCCCGAGCCTACTTCAGAACCAAGACATGGTGGTGTGGACTGTTTCTGCTGGTGCTGGGCGAACTGGGAGTGTTTTCCTCTTACGCCTTTGCTCCTCTTTCGCTGATTGTGCCACTCAGCGCAGTGTCTGTTATAGGTAAGGGGGGAAAGAGACAACGGCCGTACAAGTCTGAGTGCGTTCCAGTGTGAGATTGCTGTTCATTGGGCTGATACATAACTCACTGTTTCTCTCTCCTTTTTTTATAGCTAGTGCAATCATAGGAATTATATTTATTAAAGAAAAATGGAAGCCCAAGGATTTTTTGAGTAAGTTCCACAGTTCCTTTTCATTTTTCCTCTCTGTTTACAAGCCCTTCGGCACATAGCATGGCCTCCCAAGAATCATAATTAGAGGGATGGCAAGATCTCCATTAGCTATAGTACCTCTTCGAAGAAATGCGTCATCCACTGTTTGTTAAAAATAGATTTTTTTTTTGTTTTTTTCTGACTTGTGCCAAATCATCTGGATCTCACAGATTTTAGAAATACGTTGAAGTGGCGTTTGTTTGGAGGATCTGAGAACCGTGGTTCTCTGGGCTGAAGCTCCAGCCTAGGGCCTTGACTTTACCATAGCGTAGGCACAACTGAATCAGCTGAATTTCATACATGTGCAAGTGTTTGCAGAACTGTGGCATTCATTCTTCCATTTCCTAGAAAATGGGCTGTGGGCAGTGCCAGGCAGGATAAGCCCCAGATGTAGATCTTGCAGCTCCTGTTTGGTTAGCAGGTGGTGCCCGGTATGAGCTTTTTTCTCAACTCACAGCACACACATTGCCTAGGGTTTTTTTGGTTCTAATGTTTTGAAAGTGGGGCACAAAGGGCAGGGGAATGAGTCATCCCGAGGAATGCGCATGATGTCATTAATGGTCACTGTGCATGTGCGATATTAATTCCATGCATCCACACTAACCCACTAACTTTGTCCTCTCTCTTTTTTTTTTTTTGTTTTTTTTTGTTTTGTCCTCTGGTTGCCGAAGGGCGCTATGTTTTGTCCTTTGTAGGCTGTGGTTTGGCAATTGTTGGAACTTATCTGCTGATAACATTTGGACCTAATAGTCATGAGAAGATGACAGGAGAAAATATCACTAGGCATTTAGTGAGCTGGCCATTTCTGTTGTATATGGTAAGATGGCCCATAAAATGTGGGACAGTTTTCTGCTATATGCCTGACTGGGAGTTTCATTTCAAGCGTTATTTTTTCCTTATGGTTACTAGCAATATTCCTTGTGCTAATGAACCTATGCCAGCTTTTCCCGGTGTCTGTTCCACATCGCCTGTGGAGACCTGCATGCACAATTTGCAACCTTCCCATTCTTTCTCGGAATTATTCTGTTAGGACTTAAATACCTTTAACTGAAAAGTTTTAAAATAGCTTGCTCTCTCCCTGACCTGTCAGCTTCAGCCTGTGGTGGTAGTACTGATGGCAGCTGAGAGCAAGTCTTCCAGAGGTGTCCAAATACTGCGCTTGCATCTGGGCTTCTTCTAGACTGACTTTCTCTGGAGCCATCAATCTCTCATTGAAAATCTTATGAAATCTAGTGTTTTTTAATGGAGATAAGTTTGGCCATTAAATAAGATGTGTGCTGTAGGGATCACTTAAAGAACCTCATTACAGAAAGTAGGCTGAGATCTCAGAGATGAATATTCAGTCAGGATTATTTGATCTGCTGCTTTACCATGAATATAACGTCAAAAGTTCCCATGTTCCCTGTTCTGCAAGAAGCTATTGAATATCTCATCTAATTCGAATCTAAGATCATGCTAAATTTGAGCTATTATTGTGTGGGATCATCATTTTCCTTTGATTTGCCCTTTTGTGTAATTCTAATGTTTGATTGGCTCAGAATCCCATTTACTGCCAACCCTGTACACCCCGCATCTTTTAATATTCTCATTTCTATCTTTTGTAGCTTGTGGAGATCATCATATTCTGCCTGCTACTATATTTTTACAAGGAGAAAAATGCAAACTACATTGTAGTTATTCTTCTGCTGGTAGCTTTGCTGGGTAAGTTGACAGGGACTTTTAAGATCTTTTAACTCTGTCTTATAACAGAAAACTACAGTAAACTGAGGCATCTATGGCTTGTAAGGAATTATATTGACCTAATTAATGCCATAAAATGCACCAATTATTCCAGAAGTGTGACTACAAATTAGATAAAGCTAGTATGTTGCAGTGATGTTTAGGATCTTTGCAAGTGACCTTTGAACAATTAAAACTTATTTCCCATAAGGACGAATAATCTGCCAAATACAGAAAATGCAAATTATTTATTAGTGTTCTTACTTTTAATCTGTGCATACAAAGCATGGTACAATATCTTATCTATGCAGTGGATAAGGAAGGCTGATTCAAAGGATGAAAGAGAGGATTTGACCTGCAAGAATCTTCTTGGCTCTGGGAAGATTTGCTGTCTGGCTAAAGAAACGATAAATACTCTGCCCTGCCAGTATGTCCCTATTTAAATTGGAAGAGCCTCTGGGCATGGGGTCGAATGATGCTTTTGATATCCTCGTAGCCTACAGCGGGCTCCGACAGTGACTCTGGAAAGGCCAGGATTTCACTTGTACCTTTCTCCACATTACTCTGTTTTTTTCAAAGAAACTGTGATCAATTAAACTTTAAAAAGGGTGACTATAGCAAGGCAGTGACGCAGTCTGATGTGCGGCTGAATCTATGTCACAGTCTTCAATTTTTGCTATTTATGCGACTTCAGTCACTGCAGCGTCTTGTCTCTTTTTTTTTTTTTTAACTGTTTGTGACTGGATTTCAGTAACTGATGCCTCAGAGGCTGTGTGAATCATAGACAAAGCAACTGTCCTAATTCTGAATGGCCCTGTCTTGTGCTTTCAAGAAATGGAAAGGAAGTAGGCTCTTTCTGACTCTTGTTTTGAAAATTTCCTTAGCTTTATTAACCAAGCCGATATGGCATCAGAAATGAAAATTTGTATCCTTCCATCATGTGACTGCACAACACTCTTTAAATACTTAAAAAAACCCAGTAAATGCTCCCAGCCCTGTAGAGAAGGGAACCACGATACAAAAAGGTTAAGTGATTTATTGAAGGTCACTGTGGTAAAATTGTTGGGAATAAAACTGGCAGATTTGTATGCAGTTTGCATCCCTTGTTTGCCCTGGCAAAAGGAGTGTTCAAGTTTTTGTAGATCCTGGGTTTGTTTGCAGATACCTGTCAAGTATAGAGCGAATGTGCAGCGTTCGTGTCGCATTGAGCATGTATCAGTGTTTCAGCTGAGTCTCGGTAAACATTCACAGGTTCCATGACTGTTGTGACTGTGAAGGCTGTGGCAGGCATGATTGTTGTCTCGATACAAGGAAACTTACAACTCGACTACCCTATATTTTATATCATGTTGGTGTGCATGATTGCTACAGCGACCTTTCAAGCAACGTAAGATATTCACTCTCTTTTTGTCTATAGTTGTGCTGGTTTCAGTGGATCAGTAATTAATGGGCTGTTTGTTATTCATTCCAAGAATGCTGATTACATTTTAGGAAAAGAATTATCCATTCTCTTCTGTGACCTGTCCTCAAATCCATGTCACAGGAGCCTGAGGTAGTGGTGTTCTTTGCTTTTCCATGTAGTGACGCTGCCAAGTAGTTTTAATCCCAAATTTATACATCACTCAAGTATTTGCAAAACTGTTAGGAATGAAATGGTGGCAGATTGGATACAGTATCTGTGCACTGACTAAAATCAAAGTGCAGAATCAGTGTTGTTGATGATGTGTCTATTTTTTTTGTCTTCTGTACTTGGAATAACATAAAAAGCCGGTAGCAGCAGGGATAAAAAGCTATTCAAAATGTGAGTGACATTCTGGCTCTAAGGTTAGCGGCAGTAATTTCGCTGCCTTTAGTCAGTGCAGCCATAAGGCTTGCTTTTCTGTCATTTGTATTAATTCCAAGGGATGCTGCTGCAGGTTTATTGAGAAAGAGAATAAAGTTTCTTAAACTTATGCATCGCTTCCAAAAGGTGTTTCCAAGAAGAAGGAGACCAATACTAGTCCATGATAACTGCTCTAGGATTTGAGTATCCTTCCCAAATCAACCCCTGTTGTCTGTCATTGTATTGCAGATTTTTAGCTCAAGCCTCACAGCTGTATGACTCATCTCAGATTGCCAGCATTGGCTATATCCTGTCCACAACAGTAGCAATCACAGCAGGTAACAGTGCACAAAACAATGTGTTGGTCCTTTCTGAAAGAAGGGTGGGCAAAAGATTTTGGAAAATAATCCTCACTTACAGATAAGGAAGGTGAATACTCACCAAGACGATGACCTGTGTTTTCCTGTCATCTCTCTTCTGCAGCTGGCTTTGATTCTTTTTTTTCTTTCAAAAATGTGAATGATCCCATTGGACTGTGTTAAAATTCTCTGTTAAGTTCTGTCATTTTGTTTAAAGTGCACAGGAACTTACGTTTGAGACTGTATTACTCATGCCATGCTAGCGTGTAGAAGAGGGTGATGTATGCTCTTAGATGTGCAACTTGAATACACAACTAAAATTTCTCCTTGTGTAGTTTTATCTAGATTTTGTTAAAATGTATGTGATACAGTGTATAAGTGTATTTGCTTCCTCTGTACAAAGGTGTTACAATTCTCTTCCTCATAGTCTTGCTTGCATTCTATCTGGCATGCAGCTGCTCACAGCTTTATAGGCACTTTTCTTTCTGAACAGTTGACTCCAATTTCAGCCCTTGCCCACATAGGAAAAGCTTTGTCTGTGTGAGCAAAGATGAGCGTTTTTAAACCCCTTAGGCTTCAAACCTGACGAGCAGCCTTTTTAAGGTTTGGTGCCCCTCACTTAGACATATGAGCAAAACTGGGGGGGAGAAACCAACCAACCAAAGAAAAAAAACAAAACCCCAACACTGGAGAAGGTGCACCTGGTTGACAGTGATGAATACTATCTGTGTAAATAGTAATGCCCTTCTAGGTATAGAAGGGCAATAGCTTCCCCCGTAAATTACATACTGCCTTTTAATGCTTTTCTTCAATGTCATGAGAGAGTGTGGCCTACTCTTTGGTTAATGTTTATGTCCTGTCATGTTCCAAGCCATATGCTGCTGTCAGATTCATCAGCTTATTTACTTTACTTCAATTAGAAATGTAAAGAGTAGGAGCCAGAATGCGTGTCCTGTTGACATGCAGGACACCAAGGACACTTGTCATCTTACAGGTTTGAGCTGTGTATACTTGTTTGGGATCAAGAGTTTGTATGCTGTTGTGGTCAGAGAGATCCCATTTGGTTTGTCATTCAGACTTCAGAAATCCAGTCTCTTGTGTATGTGGTAACCGCTGCTGTATGGTGAGAACTTGGCTCAGGCTTCATTAGCACAGTCACATGCAAGAGTTCCAGCAATGTTTCCTTCACAACCCCCTACCCCAGTATGGAAGGATTTGTACTAGTTGCTGTGCAGCTGTACAGCTTTACTTGCATCTGTATTAGTTACACCAGTATAACTATTTTGGTAGTGAAATTCAAGGAGGTTAGTCAATAAGTTGTGTTAAAGTAGAAATCAGGCCACCTTTTTCTACTTTAAGATCATAAAAAAACAAAGGTGCTGCCTATAAAAATAGGAATCTTGCATGATTTGGTTTCTGGAGGGACTGGTGCTGGAGATGTAGCACTAATTGCTCAGGTAAGCTGGGAAGAAAGATGTCATGAATTATTTCCTTTTAAAGGAGCAACTTTTTACTTGGACTTCACCGGTGAAGATGTTCTCCATATATGTATGTTTGCGCTTGGGTAAGTGTTTAAAGTTTCCTTGATAGAAAACTGGAAAGTATTTCCAACCTAAACGATTCTATGATTCTTCATATGACTAAGATTTTAAAAATGCATATCTGTCTATCTCTCCATATATATATCGGAGGTACCCACCTTCTTGGGGAGGAGGACAAACTGAAAGCACTTTCTGTGTTAGAGCAGACAACGGCCCACAGAGCTCAGTATCAATGACGGATGCTCTAGAGGAATGGCGTAACACTAGGTTATGCGTAATTGTACAACATAAACCACTAAATCCCTTACTGGGGATTTTTCAAGCTACTTGCTCATGAATCTAGAAGAATTGCAGAATAACCAAAAGAAGCCATCTCTAGGGAATCTGTTTCAGGTTTTGCTCCAAGCCTTCACTGAACTGTGACTGGACTTCTGCTTCTTAGGGCATGGGCACTTGCATAATGCAGATACGATCAGTAAAACATTTGCTGTGTAACTCAGTATTTAGTCCTAGTACAGCGTCTTGATGTAATTAGCTCTCCATAATTGGGACATTCTGAAATGTCTGTCAGATTAGTACAGAAAAAAACAATTGGGAGATTAATGTTATGAACTGCGCCTTTCTCTGTCAACATACTGTAAAAATTGACAGTTGTTAATGTGTTTACCTATGGGAAACCTTTCAAGGGCCAGGCTGCTAAATCCTGGAATTTCATTGAAGAAAACCAAATTTTTATATGCTTCCTTTCCCCCTTAGTTAGTCAAGATTAATTAATTAACATGAAACCTTTTCCCTTTGAAACCTTTGATACAGGAAAGGTGAAATTGTTCTGATTGCTAGGTGGATTTCAATACTGTTGAAGAGGGTTATTCAGCTGAGACAGTTCCCTGTAATTCTGACTTCACGGTTCTTTCTCTTCCAGTTCTGAATTCTTTATGGTGCTACATGATAGGCGCTCAGAAGCAGCAACATGCAATATTACCTCCTCTCCCTTTTCATAGTTATCTCAGTAGATCTTGTCTTCTCTCTCAGGTGCCTCATAGCATTTCTAGGTGTCTTCCTGATCACAAGAAATAGGAAGAAGTCTGTACCATTTGAACCTTACATATCAATGGATGCTATGCCAGGTAACAGTAAAAATACAGTTGTTTATCACTCTTTCTCTTTTAAGCGTTAGGCTTCACAGAGAACGCTCAAGCTTTAGGCTCTGTTAACTATCCGGATATATCAGGTGGCTGTCTTGTTTTCTAGTTTTTCCTTCTCTTGTTTGTTTGTGCCTTGTGAGGGGTACGTGCCTGTTTTGCGAGGAGCAGAAGAGAGGTGACGTGCCATTTGGATGCCACTTATTCTGGGTCCTCTGACACCAGGGGGGATGTCAGATTTTGTCAGAACAGCCTTGTCCAGTTGGCTACTGTCTGGGAAGACAAACTAGTTTTGAGCATTTGCTTGGGGCTGGGCTTGGTCTTCACCCAGCAGGAAGAACTGATTATTGAGGAAGACTGAGGTATGTTGCAAGAGCTGGAGGCCAGGGGGAGCAGAAATTTCTTTTGGGAAGTGCAGCTAAACTCTCTTTCTGGTGAGCTGTAAAATATATGCAGCACTTGATAAATGACTGACTGCCATCCTGCATTCACTTGAAGCGTATTTCTCCATTAGTTGCTTTAGTGCTAAGCAGAAAAACATTATGTCTTTCGTCTAACACTCAAGGAACTGATGAGCCGCATATCACGAACCCTGAGACTATATAATTTGCTGATTTAAGAGAGTGCAGGAAGAGTGCACGTTTGTTCCTAAGCATTTAATCTCTGTCTTTGCTCGTTTCAGGCATGCTGAACATGCACGATAAAGGGATTGCAGTTCAGCCTGACCTCAAAGCTTCTTTTTCCTACGGTGCCCTAGAGAACAATGACAGCATGCCGGAAATTTATACACCAGCTACGTTGCCGATTGTGCAGGAGCAACATGGTTCCAAAGGAGTTTCTGCTCCACCCTACCGAGTGCTGGAGCACAGCAAAAAGGAGTGAGTGACCTTCAAGGAACTGATTTGAATTGTCCGAAGTATGACCTTTATTTATTTACCCATTAAAATATAAGCAAGTGTAAAGCCAACCTTGATATAGTTTAAAGCTTGTCTCAACTTTCAAGGCTGATTATTAAAATAAACAACTCTCTATAGTTGTGAAGTTGAAAGCATTTGTCTTGGCCAGAAGGAAATCACAGTTCTCCATTGAAGGCTGCTGTCTGGAAGTGTGAAATGGTGAGTGCAGTATCATGGCAGCAGGAAACCGATGAGAGAGCATACACTGTGAAAATGCAGAGCTGTGGGAAGAGAAGTGAGTGTGCAATTTTTAGTCCTGCTGGGAGTGGGTTTGTCTCCAAATAGAAGCTTTCAGGGGTTGCTCACAGAGAGAGGAGGGCAGGACTTAATCTTTCATATGTAGGGACTGTGACGGATTTCCAGAAAAGTTGTAAATCCTTATGTCTCTAGCGTAACCGCCAAACTACCTTAACATGGCAATAAAATCTAATTGTTTTCAAGCACGAACACTGAAACTTACTGTGTCTTTAGAGCAGCATATTTGGTTAGAGTAAGCAAGCTACTGTATTCCTTCAAAACGTGAATCTTGGGCACTTCCTGTACAACTGTTCTCTGACTGGTGTTGCACATATGCACTGAGTATGTGAACTGTTTTATAGCACCACTGGATTATATGGCAGCTGAGAACAAAGATTGGCAGTTTTCTGGTTTCATAGTGGGAGCTTCAAGTTGGCTTAAATGGTGCAGAGGGAACACTGTAAAGTACAAGAACAAGAAGAAATGAGAATAGCAACATGACTGGTATCTGGTGGGAATTTTTTGTAGTTCTTGATGAGATCCTAATTCTGTTGTAGCTTGTATTTCCTTTCTGGTTGAGGCAGGATTTCCAACTTTGTTTAGCAGCCTGAAACGCTTAAAGGTGTTGACATTCCTTAGTTAAAAAGCTCAGTCTAGGTGTTTTAGGCTGGGGTCCCCCCCTTTTATTTTCTTTCAAAAAAGCAAAAAAAGATACTGGTCTAATATTGTGAATGACCTAAGAAGAAAAAAGAAGCGAGCACAGGCTAGCACTCGGTGAGGACCGTAAGAATAATGGATCATTGTGTACTCGTGATATTTATCTTTCCAGCTTCCAAGAGATGGCTGGAAGCTGATACGAAGGGAGAAT